AAAGGAAAAGGAAAAGGAAAAGGAAAAGGAAAAGGAAAAGGAAAAGGGAGGGGAGGAAGAAAAGAGAAGAGCACCACACTCCTCTCTCTTCTCTTCATGCCCAGTAATTTGGGAGCCGAGCATGAGGTTCCCTGCACCTTCCATATTTGGCACCATGCTGTGTCCTGCATGAAGGATAAATACTCAGGGCTCTGAGGTTACAACATAATGTCCTTCGACTCCGGGATGCTGGACCAGAGGTGGCCTCGACCTACAAAAGCTTCTCAGAGCTGGATCCTTCCCCACCACCTCCCACTGCCCTTGCCCTGAGATGTGCATTGAAAGGAGATGGGGAGAGACTGAATTTTCCTCTGGGAGATGCAGTGACAGCAGAAATACTGCAGGAGAGGCACACTCTCAGATTCCAGCTTCTCAGTAGCTCATTATTTATTACAAATGTAGCAAACACTGGGAATCTACAACAGGCGTGGAGTGCTCATAAATTAGAGGCTGTGGGACTGCTTGGAAGGAGGGAGGGAGGGGAAGAAGGAGGGAGGGAAGGAGGGAGGAAAGAGGGAAGGAAGGAGGGAAGGAGGGAAGGAGGGAAGGAGGGAAGGAGGGAAGGAAGGAAGGAAGGAAGGAAGGAAGGAAGGAAGGAAGGAAGGATATGAATTTGCAGGTCTTGAGAAGAGGGCAGAAAAGTGACAAAAGGGGTTTTGTCATCCCGAATGTGGGGAGGAAAGAGGAAGAGTGAGGTGGTACGTGGGAGGGAGTGGATAAAAGGAGAAGGAAAAAAGCGTAGGAAGAGCCGGGAATTACCTCGGGGGAGGAGAAACCCTTTGCCGCCCGCGGGCCCTTGGCACAGCACGGGGGAGTCCCCACCGCCTGTCCGCGGGTGTGTGAGCGGCTCCCGGGAGGAGCTGCTCCTTCCTTCCTTATCCTCATCCTTCCTTTCCTGCCCACTCAGCCAGAGCCCTCCCGAGGGTTTCTAACGCCGGGTCCCGCACATCTCGTGACGAGCCCGAGGGCTCCCAGTACAGAGATTTCCCGCGACAGGGACCCCGACAAGCCGTTTTCTTGGCCACACAGCTCAAAGCGTGAGGCAGCCCGGAGCTTGTAGGGAGGGAGCTACGGGACTCTCGGTTCCCCCAACCCTAGGATTGAAGGAGGGGGGTGCTGCGTGCCCGTTCTGACGGCGGCTGCTCTCCCTTCCCCTGCAGGTACTGGGACGATTTCCACGCTTGCACCCTCACAGCGCTCACGGATTGCCAGGAAGGAGCGACAGACCTGTGGGAGAAACTGAGACGGGAATCCAAAAACCTCGATTTCCAGGGCAGTTTGTTCGAACTGTGCGGAGGCGGCAGCGGAGCAGCCCCGTCCCAGCTGCCGCCGTCGCTGCCCGTGCTGCTGGGGGCATTGGGAGCAGCTCTGGCCACCTGGGGGCTGCCCTTCTAGCGGGGCCAACGCTGCACCCGGAGAGGAGCATCCGTCCGCGGCTTTGGGGACGTCGTGCTCGGCCGTGGTTGGTGACGGTGGCTGATGGTGGCGGAACACCCGTGTAGGACTGTGGAAGCGTTTTCCCTTTCTTTTTTTTCTTTTCTCCCCCCCCCCCCTCCCCATTTATTTATTTATTTATTTATTTATTTATTTATTTATTTATCGTGTTTTATTTGCCAAACGTTACCAAACAGGCAGCGGCGTGCAGCCCGAACCGGACCTCAGCTTTACTATCGCTTCAGATCAAAAATAGGAGAAAACAATATCTAGAGAGATCGAGGAGCTCGAGCCCCCCCCGGCGTGCACCAGAAATCTCAGGAACGACTCCGGGCCTCCACCCCGACCCAGCGGTGGGGCCGAGGGGATGTCCACGCACGCAGCATCTGGTGAATAACTCACGGCTTCATCTGTCCTCCACGGTCGCTTGTTTTATGGTCATTCCACTGCAGAAAAATAATAATAATAATAATAACAAGAAGAAATAATAAGTAAAAACAACAACAACAATAAAAAGGGAATAATAATGAAAGTAATGATAATAAATTAAAAAGAGAGTGTTTTCTTAAGGGGAAACGTTAAAGGAGAAAGGAAGGAAGGAAGGGGAAAGGACAGAGATGCGTCTCCGCGCCCGCAGGAGTGAAGGAGAGCTGCGGGCAGAGCGCGGTTCCCTTCCGTTGTCTCCGTACGGAGACATCGGTCCGCACTCACCGACTTTAATTTCGTCCCCCTCTTTGTTTTAGGTGTCACACGTCCAGCAAACCCCCGAGTAGCCGGCAGCAGGGGTCACTAACGGGAGGGGGGGGTGGGACTAAAATGGGAACCTAACGGAAAAAAAAAAAAAGAAAAAAAATCGACAGCAAAATGATTTTGGAAATAAATAAGTACGTAAATAAATAAAAGGGGCCTCGGTTTTAAAAAAAAGAGAAGGAAAAAATGTAATAATAATAAAAAGTTTATTATAAAGTCAATTCAGCAAAAAAAAAAAAAAAAAAAAAAACCAAAAAAAAAAAAAAAAGAAAAAGATTTGCTACAAACTATAGACAGAAGTATAAAATAAAAAATTATTGTTTCAAACGGGGGTTGTCGTCCTTTTTATGCAATATGGCCGGGGTACCCCGAAAGGCTTTGATGCAAGGGGGGCTGAACCAGAGCCCATCCTTCGATGAACAGCGGCAATTCCAGTTCATGCGAGGACAGGGCTGAGCCGTACAGCTCACCCCGAGCCTCCCTTCTTTCTATTATTTTATCTTTTTTTTTTTTTTCTTTTTTTTTCTGTTTCTTTCTTAAACGCTCTCTATAAATCCTCCCCCCGCTCCCCGAAGATGGGAACTCCGCGCAGCCCCGCACCCCGCGGAGCGCTTCGGGCCCCATAAGGAGAAAACGGCGGCTGGGCCGGGCCTCACCGGAGCCCTTCCATCGGTAATAAGGTTGGGGGGCGGGTATTGATTTCGCAGCAGCAGCAGCAGCTCTGCCCTCGGCTATTTATAGGCGCCCGGAGCCTTTACAGGGAGTGCACATCAAAGAGCAACGCGTCCTTTGGCGGCGGAGGGTTGTGATGGGGAGGGGTTGGTTCTGCCATTGACCCTCTTGGCCAAGATTAGGGCGCTGGGGCTCCGCTTTTCTCCCTCCCGCTTCCCCCCCCTTCCCGCAATGCAATGTGTAAGCAAACAGCCATCGGAGCGCTCCATCCATCACGCAGCCGCTCCTCATCTCCCGCACGGATCGACTCCCGGCAACGAATGCGCTCAGCGACGGCGCCGGGCGCCTTCAGCGCTGCGAGCAATGTTGGTTTTTTAATGCTAAAATCCATCCTGCGTGCAGAACCTCGTTGGCAGACACCGATCTGCTCGCGGTTCGTTCTCACCGCCCTCCCTCTGCGTTCCATCCCCACCGCCACTTAAAGGAGAGGAGAACTCCGGGGAGCAGAGCGCTGTCGGAGCGGTTCGGGTTCTTTTCGCTCCTTCTTTTCCCTCAATTGATTTTTTTTTTTTTTCTTTTTTTTTTTTCTCTGAGCTTCGCCGTATGCATGAGGTCAGGCGCCGCGGCTGAGATTTCCCGCAGCACCAAATGGCAGACGGGGAAAGCGGGGAGGAGGAGACGGGGAGAGAGAGGGGAGGCCCTGAGGGCTCCTGGACCCCTTCCCAGTGCACATCTCCTTTGGGAGAGCCCTTCCCCGGGGGCTGCAGGGCAGGGAGCTCCTCTGCTATTTCTTCTGCCCTCGGAAAAAAAACGGGAGACATCGCAAATAAGGGGGAGATTCACAGCTCGTTAGCTGTCTGCGCGTGAGGCTGAATTAGAAAGGATAATTTATTCGTAATTAGCAAATCCCCCCCTTAACACCCCCCCACCCCCCCCAATTAGCCCTCCGTCGTAGTGAGAGAAAAAACGGTGGTGAATAGGGGAAAAAGGAGAAGAGAGAGACTAGAGGGGATGGAGGGGCTCGGGAGATCCCAGGCAGCTCTCGCTTTTGCGGAGCCTCGATGTCCCTCACCCTTAGGGCTGTGGGGAGAGGCGGGAGATTCTCGCCCCGCGTTGCCGCAGCCTGAGCCGGAGCCTGAGAATGGCCCCAACCCCTGTGCAGACGAGGGATGGGGACGGGAAAAACGCAACAGAAGAGGTTTTAAAGGTTGAAAGAACCGCAGGAAAATTGTCACTGACTTAAAAAATTACAAACAGCCGAAACAAACGCCGACTGGATGCCGGCGGCGGAGGGGGGGGGTGGGGGGGGGGGGGGGGGGGGGGTGGGGGGGTGGGGAGAGAGCTGGGGGTGCTGCGGCCGCTGCGGCTCTGCTGCCCTCATTCCTCTCCCCGGCTCCGACTGAGCAACCGCAGCCCGCAGTCCTCGGGGGCCGCGGGGCTGCCGCCTCCCTCGATCCCTCTCTCTCTTCCTCCATCCCTCCCTCTAGCGCGGATGGGACGCGGCAGTCCGGCGGCAGCCGGCACCAGCCCGGCCTCTCCTCGCTGGGGCTGAAGTGGTGGAGGTGGTCGCCTGTTGGGTTGGTTGGCTGTGGGGTTTTTTTTCGCTTTGGAGGAAAGAAACGGAAAGTGGGGACATCATTCTTTCCAGGGCTATAGTTCTATGTGTGCAGCTCCCTTCCAGCCGACTCAGCGGAGCACCGACAGACTAACAGAGGCCCATCAGAATTCCACCTATTCATCAGGGCTGATTCATTAATAATTAGTGCCATTGGGTGCTGTAATGCACTGCCCGAAGGCCTCAATTAATGGAGAAGGAGCTCGTTTAATCCGGAGGGCCGGATTCTCCCCGCGTTACTCCGTCTGGTACACAGGCTGTACTTCAAGGGTGAGCAGCAGCCCCAGCCCCGGCCCTCGGGGCTGCAGCCCTCCTCCTTCTCCTTCTCTTTTCCCTCCTGCCTGGAGGATGAGGCGGCAAATCGGGTTATCTTTCAGCACCACTTCGTTCTCCACCACGAGGCAAAGCAGTGTATTTGGAGGGCAAAGTGATAGGGACTGCGGAGGAGTCTTTGTTACAAAACCAGATGCAATTTTAGCCGTCCAAGAGAGTAGCTTCAGGCTACCGGCAGCTGATGATCAATGACGCTGCTGGCAGATATGCTTCCAGTTGGCTGCTGTCCCTCCCGAGGGACGGGTTCATCTCAGGGCCCATTGCAGTGCCATGTTCCACCAGCAAGAATCACAGAATCATAGAATCACAGAACCATAGGATGCTTTAGGCTGGAACCATAGGATGCTGGGCTGGCTATAGCCCACCCAGACCCAGCCCCCTGTCGTGGGCAGGGCTGCCTCCCACCAGCTCAGGCTGGCCAGGGCCCCATCCAATCTGGCTTTGAACATCTCTAGGGAAGGAGCACCACAGCTTCTCTGGGCAGTCTGTGCCAACGCCTCACAGCACTCTCAGAGAAGGAGAAAAGCTGGAGGTGGGGTGGGAAGGAGACTGTCACAGAGGTGAGCTGTTGACTGTTGGAAAGTTGGAGGTCCTGACCTGCTGAAGGTTGAGGGAGGAATGGCTGTGAGCTCACCTGGGGGCTCCACTAGCAGAAATCCACTCACAGGTCCTGGGAGCCTCTTCAGCAAGTGAAACAGCATTGCTGCAGGGAATAAACAACCAGTCCTGACCTTCCCCACACGGTCCTTCTCAGGGAAAAAAGTATGCTCAGAAGTCAATACACATTTTGCCTAGGTAAGGATTTTGAATGCTCCATTTTGCCTCTGTCAGGAATGCTACCCAAACACGAACTCCAGGTTTATGCCAACAAAATACAAAGTGCTTGTGTGTGCATCATAACTTATACCCCCAGGGTTCTTGCCTATGATACCCATCTCTTAAGCACTGTGTAAAACTTAGCAAATCTCTCAAGCACCCAAGATCAGATCTGTGTTCTGCAGGACATCTTTTTCTTTTTCTTTTTCTTTTTCTTTTTCTTTTTCTTTTTCTTT